TATGTTAATTTTCAATTTTATTTTTATTTATGTGAACATTTATGTAAAGAGATCATAAAATTTCACCAATTGCATAAAAAAAAAATATAAACAACACATCACCCGAGATCACAAAATTCCCGTGTGAATCTCTGTAACCTCACCGATGTCAAGTGTGCTCCAAAATTGGTGTAAGTATTTTGGAGTCAAAATCTCATTGGCCTCCATTATACGCTTAAGTATACATGCACAAGGGATGGAATGAATTTGCTTCAGGTAATGATTGCATTCCCAATACACATCATCTCCGAGTTGTTGTGTCCTTTCCAACTCATTGTTCAATGGATCCAAGCAGTAGTGTGAAACATTGCATCTTAATTGGTAGAAAGGTACTTGTTGTGTTGCCTCCCTATTTTCTGCCTTGATTCTTGCAATTTCTCCCTGTGGAGGAATTATAACAAATTAATTAAACAAACTAAACACACAAATTAACTAAAAAGAGATCAAAACCCAGTACCTTATTTGCGTAAGCTGTGTCTCTAGTAACATGTGAACTTTGTGCCAGACCGTTTCAAAAGAAGCATTTGCAGTGCCGAGCCATTCCTTTAACAACTTGTGTGCGCTCTCCACTCTACAAGTAGTGGTGTTGCCAAGATGCAAATAAATGTTGGTCCATGCATGCACAAACTTGTCCGCCACCACTAACTATGTCTTCCTAACATACTCTAGAACGGGATGAAATTGAGACCAATTATGCATCAGAAACTGTACTTTTTCTTCGCATTCTTCCCGATTTGCAGCTTCGATCACTGTTTTAAAGGCCTTGTACGCGAAACTTTTTGCTACAAGGGCATTTCCGTTCAAAATTCTTTTCACATTTTTTTCAACATCCCTGTAAACGTGCCACGTACACAACAAGTGATGTGATGATGGAAATACATCATCAAGAGGCCTCATCAGTCCAGGCTCCCGATCAGTCACGATGACACTCGGATACAGATCATCGCCATACAAGTTACGGAGCTACCACAGCGCCCAATGGTAGCTGTCCCCCGTCTTATCACTCTGAAGAGCATATGCTATAAGGAAGGTCTGATTGCAAGGGGTCATTCCAACAAACTCCACAAGAGGCATTTTATATTTGTTTGTGTTGTATGTGGAATCTACACAATATCCCTCTGTGTCTCTTCATCGCACTCCGTGAAGATGATGTATTTGTGTTGTTCTGCAACCTCTAACACCTTTCTCACGACGTCCATGGCAGCCAGGTCATCTAGAATTGGAAACCCCTCCTTACGCAATTGATTTCTGTAGTTGTAGACTTGTTTGGAAGTAACCTTTTCATCAGGAAATTGTGTCCATATCACCCGTAAAATGTGGACTGCCTTAGTCCAGCATTAGAGTACTCCTTAATAAACTCTTTCACTTCTGCACTCAATGGTCTCCTGACTCGAAGTGGATCTTTCAATGAATGGTTGTGCATTTCCCACGGACCTGGATATACACGGATCGCCCACCTATAATATATCTTGTAAATAGTAACGCGAAACAGGCATCCGGTCATCTGTGTCTTTGTATTGACTCGGGCGTGCACATTTTCATCCACCTGTTGACCTTGGTACCGCCCTCCTTTATGACAAAGGAGTATAGTACTATTATCCTTGTGCGAGGATACACTTAACTCTATGTTGTAGATATTCGCAATATCCTTCGCATATGCAACAGCTTCCTTATTCGTGGCAAAAGTCTCATCTGTAGCAAAAGCCGGACTATAATCGACTCCATCCCTCTGATCAAACCTATCCTGCACACATTAAAAACGAATTATATCATAACTTAAATTAACTCTAATAATATTAAACCACAAATAATTTGCTCTGAGCAAAAAATAAAATATATAATCCGATATAATGATCTTATACTTTAAAGATAATTAATATATACTAATAATAAATTAAATATATTATTAACAAAAACTCATTATTTTAACAAAAACCCTAAACCCTAACACCTAAACCCTATACCCATTAACATACTACCTAAACACCCATTTAACAAGAAACAAACTATTTCATACGAACATACTACATAAGTAACATAATTAAAACATATAACAATCTAAATACATTATTAACAAGAAATTAACTCATTTAATATAACAACTACAACTTATGAACAAAATACGTAATTAAAAAACATTCTCTAAATATCATAAACCCTAATTTTCTAAACAAATATTAAACTACCAAACAAATACTCAAATAAAATAAATACATGAATTAAATAAAATTTATTAAACTAATAATAATATTTATTAAACTAATAAATATTAAATATATTAAAAAATTATAAAAAAATATTAAATTAAAAAAAAATGGGTGGCGCCCAAACTGGTGCCACCTATCGGGTGGTTGGCGAGCATTGGCGCCAAATCTGGCGCCACCACCTTCGCCTAAGGCGAAGGCCGTCTCACCTCCCTGTAAAGGGAGGCGAGTTTATTAGGGGTGGCGTGTTTCTCCACGGCTGGCGCGTTTCTCCCTCGCCCCCCCTCCTCCCTTTTTCGAAAAAAAAAAACTTACTTCTATTTGTAGGGGCGTGTCCGTCTTTTGGGGACGCTCAAATGAAACAATAAGGGCACTCAACAATTCGACCCTTTTTAAGCATGAAGTTTTGAAGACAAGAATATTATAAGATGACTTTCGGGGACGAATAATAAGATCATGCCATACGTATTTAAAACTCAGCTGCCGTTTTGACATTATTATACTATTTTTTGTTTTAGTCAATAATCTGTCACTAAGAAAACAAACAAGATAATATGTCCACCCAAGATGTCATACTCTTCGGACATATCATACAGTAAAACATTTGGTCCTACCATCTTTCTTCAAAAATATTCTAAAGTGTGGAAATTTATTACACGTCGATCCTTCTTATCATACTGACAAAATTAAATTTATTTAGTATTTGGATTTTATTTTGTTTATTTTATTTTCTGCCTTCGTAACCACGCAAAAAATAAGTCTTGTTTTTAGATTGAACAATGCATGTCCACAAACTAGTCTCTTCCATAACGTGGAACCGCTGTTTCCCAATATGGCTGCTACTAGTTGAATACCATAAATTCGTGGATATTGTTAAATTCATGTTTCCAGATAATCTAACCTATTAATTTTTTTTCAAAAATAGTAAATAGTGAACCATAGATTAAAAATCAAGCCAAAAATACATACTTACACTAAGTTTTAGTTCAGAATACTCTCAAATAATAAAAACAAAAAGTTTGAAAATTAAAAAGATATAAGTCGATATAATATGTGGTATGATTTATTAATACCGTCTCAACTTATTTTAGATCAAGCCGGGTTGGCGTATTAGACAAGGTTGATTGTAATTTTTTTTTCCCATAATTACCACTAAAGATATGTTTCAATCTTAACCTTAAACGTCAATAATTGCAGGCAACTTAGAAAAGTAGTTGATGCCTAATGAATTATTTAGTACACTAAAATTAAGTAACACCCAAAATTTACGCTAGGTACGATGTCGACTTTAGCGTTTCCAATCACATCTGCCCACCTATGGAATGCCATACCTAGACCAACCCGAACAAATTGTCCTTTAAGTAGTTTTACTTCACAAAGAAACCTTCCACACTCTTTTCCCTACCCCCTTAATTTATTATAAGAAGGTATTATAGTAGTACTTAAATAAAGAAATGTAGTTAAATACTCATTCAATGGACGACCGTTTGTTTTTTGTATCAGCCTAACCCGGACCAAAGAAACCAAACTAATAAGTACCGAAAACAGGCCGGAATTGACTAAGGCCGGTAGGTCCCCCACACCATCAAAGCTAATACTGACCGGACCAGTCCATTGTATCGCGCAAGAAAACTCCACATAGAAAAAGAGAAAAAGAAAATAAAGATAAAGAAATTGATCGATTAAATAATTTTGCCGGTTCATTGGAATTGGTATCAAATAAACATGTTATCCGTTAACTACTCCTTTTGAACTTTTCCAGATAGAATTAAATAAGTCATTTGCGAAAATGTGGAAATCAATTCCATCGTTTTCTTTACTCCGGAACAAAGAAATATCTAATATAAAAGTTGTACGCTATAATATGCATGGTATGGACAATAGACAAGAATAACACCTATTTCTACCCGTCAAAATTTGGAAACTCTTACCTTAAGAAAAAAGTACACTAATTACGTACAGTTTTCAATGTTGAATTCTAGAAACTGGACTACAAAATCTCAAAAAAAAAAAAAAATTGTTAAAATGTAAAGTGTATTGATAAAAAAATCCTTCACAAGTTCCTGCATTTGTACATCGTCCTGCCATCTATTCACTATGCTCTATAGTATGTACAGAATCTAAAAAATTGATCTTCTAGTATTACAGAAAAAATTGAACAATTATTATGAAATGAAAAGAATGTGATAATACGGTTGCATGCATTACGATAATTGAAAAAAAGTTATTAATCAAAATATGAGAACACACTAGGAGAAAAATAAGACGTAATAGAAGAATTAATTTACTTAATAACATATTTAAGAAAACAAGAGTTTTAAATATCATATGTGTGTATAATTACATATTTCAATATGATTTATAGATATTATAGGTTACTCTAAAAGTTCACATGAAATTGATCAAAATGAACAAAAAGGTTAGACTATTGGAAGTCAACTTGCGTTGTGAGTTAATACTACTATTCCAATATGGATGGAATAGTAAAACCAAAGCCTAGTAGCCTACGTTAAAGACTTCTTCTCGACGAATTCTACATTTCTATTCACAAGAAACAAGAAAAGGGAAAGTAAGGAAATTAAGAAAAAAGAAGAAATAAATTTTAGACGAACGCGTTTGAGCTTTGAAGAACGGGAAAAACGCAAGGAAAAAAAAAGTTAAAGAAAAAAAGAAAAGAAAAAGAGAACGAGACGTCTGTGAAATGTGATTAATATTGGGGCGCAACACTTTTCAAAAAAATAAAAATAAAAAAAATGGGGCGCAACAAAATAAGTAACAAATTCCCACCCCGCGCCCCCACGTCACCATCATTATTCCCATTTCCTCTTTCTTTCTCTCTCTCTCTCTCTTATTCCCTCCATTTCCTCCAACTCCTCTTTGTCTCACTATATAAGCCTTGGGTTTCCTTCTTTCCAAGTCGTCAACCAAAATATTCAAATACTCTGATCTCTTTTTGATTATCTCTTCTTCTTTAATTATCTTATTATAATGGCGGAATTCAGCGGCAAGAAAAGGAGTCGGAATGATTCGTACGACACGGCGGAGTCACGATTTGACTACTCGCCGGAGGTGAAGCGGTTGAGGGAGGATCTCCTTCTTTTAGAGAGCTTCGACGATGGGGAAATTTACACCGGGAGTTCTGAGTTGGACTCGTTCATGAAGAGTTTCGAGGAGGAAATCTTATCCGGTATGCCGGCGCCGGCGCCGGCCACTAATCCGGCACCGGTGGTTGTTGACTTGACGTCGGAGTCCGATGATTCGCAGCCGGACAATTTGGGGTTTCTATTGGGAGCGTCAGATGATGAGCTGGGAATACCGCCGTCGAGGGGTGTGGAGACCGACGGCGGAGAGGTTCAGATCACTGAGTTGGTCCGGGCTGAGTCTGACTCGTCTGCACTCGGAGGAGGTGACTTTTGGGGTTATAATTACAGCGACGATTTACAGAACTTCGACTCTTTTGATGCCGGAATTGTTGAGTTCGGTGAACCGATGTACAACGCCGGCGGTGAATACGTGGCGCTGGACGGATTGTTTGACTATTCCGATATTGGCTTTGGGTCAAATGATATTATGTGGAGACCCGAAACTTTACATGCCAAATAGGAAGGAAAATACTTTTTCTTTTTCTTCTTTTTATTTTATTTTATACCATTCTTTACTCCCCTAGTTTTAGGCAATACCGTGATGTAAATTTCGTTTTAACGTTACAAGACAAAAAAGGCAAAAAGGATAGCATACGGCAGATCAAAATGGAACAATTTTACACTACCTCCATTTTCACGTTATTCTCCTTCCTAGTTAAATTTATTGTTTTGCCACTCTCAAAATAATTATCTATCTTATGTTATTTTTATTTTTATTCTAACAACATACTTTTCTTTTTGCTTTCTGAGATCTAAATGGCTACTCATAATATTTATACAAAGCATATGCAATTTTGTCGTTGAAATACATTTTCACCATTAACACTAACACTTCAATGAGAAGTAGTAAGTAAATTAAGTAACGTGATTATGCCCTGTTCTGTATTTAAATTGCGTGACACAAAATGTGTAACGCTAATGTTTTGCCACATAATTAAATCAATCATCGTGTTCATCAAAGTTATGTATTCTAATCTTTTCTTTTCTTAAAAATTCATGTATGCGAAGAGATTTTAATCCCAATGGTAACTGGTAAAGAACTCGATCGTTCCCGATTTATGTACATTGACTGTTAGTTAGCACGAGAAAAATGTCTTTAATTTCTTTCTTTGTTTGTTATGTTTGAACAATAAATGTCCCTATACTTTATCGGTCTCAAGTAATTGTCTAGTTTAGATTTTTTACTTTAATATAAATTATATCAAAAATAAAAATAAAAAATTTGACAATTAATTTAGAACATAGAATATTGTATTATGATTTATGAATAAGAACACCTCAAAAAACTCAAATTTGGTGAATGAAATTTTTCAGAACCAATTCAGTTCGACATCAAAGTTGGAATAATTCTGTTATACTACAAGCTTTGTGCAAGCAAAAGTATAGGCAAGTTATGAGAAATTATTTTCATGACTAAATTAAGCTTTCTATTTAAGTGGTAAATCTAAATTAAGCTTTAAAATTTAAGTTTGCCCAAAATTACAAGAAGTAGTATTACACTACTCGTCACACATCTTTTCTTTAACATTTTACCTATCAAGAGAGGAATGAAAAGAAACTCCATGCAATAACATCTCATCTACCCCCCCTTAAAATTGAACAGTAGTTAAAACATTCATTTCATGCGTGATTGCAGTTTGGAAGGTAAGAAAACCTTCCCCATTTAACGTTATTTTCAACTTTCAAATACTTGTTCGACTTCTACATCAATAATATATTATCGTAGTTTTTTCAACTTTACGTGACATTTACTGCCAGCTCTTCTTGACGTTAATTCAACTTTCGAGTTGCTTCCATTGATTTTTAAAATGAAACCTGCACCCGTGAAGGTTTCTTGTATGACATAAGATTGAAATTTAAATGGGATCACATTACTCGCTATCAACATAACACGCCAAACACATAAATTTTAATTTTAACGGATCTCTTTTATAGAAGTTTTAGAGGATCTCTTTCATATTTAAACAAAATTTATTCACCTTTTTTTAATAAAAATATTTTCAGATTATAACCAACCCCTTCAAACTATATAGGAAGCCTGACATATGCATGTATTTATGATAATTATCATTCAGCCAAAAAGATATAGAGGTAAAATATAGCATATTAAATCGGATCCAACTGTGAGTCATTTTGTCCAATTCTCAACACTTCTGTAAATGGGTACTCTTGATGCCCTCCTGTTGTCGCGCCATGAATTATATACATCACGACATTCTTCTTTGGGGATCATCAAACCCGTCAAATAATCAGGCAGGCCGCATGAATAATATTTATTCATTCATTTCCTCCATAAAAGAATGGTTCAAAATCAATTTCAAGTTGATGTGATTTTCAATTATATATTAATTTCTTTTCATGTATAAACAGACAATACTCATTTTCGTCTTATAATAATAATCCGCTTTACATTATTGTAATCGCTCACCTCTTCGAACATAATTTTTTATTTTTTCTTTTTGGGGTCAAATCCTCAATCTTTCAAATTAGTCACAGCAAATCTCTAATTTGAACAAATTGGCCACTCTCCAAACCTGACTTTAATCAAATCACGACACCCAGAGCCATCCAGGAATTTTGGGTCAGATATAATTTAATTAAAGAGATTCAGGTTTATTATTAATAATATTTTCTACTCCCTCCGTCCCATAATTATTGTCCAGTTTGCGTTTTCATTTCTAGTTTAAATTGTACTAAAAGTGAAATTTCAAATTGGACAATAATTTTGGGACATAAGGAGTATTAAAATTTAAACTCTAGACATCATCATAGTACAATGCTTTTAGAAAATTTTAACCACCCCACTAAAAGGGAGCAATAGACGAGTAACAATCAATGGCCTATAAAGTTTGATAGGAGCAGGGACCATTATCCATTATTTTGTCAAGAATTAATGTGATGGCTTGGAAACAAGAAGAAACATGAATATTGAAGAGATATGTAGATGGGCAGCCGGCCCTTTTGAACACCTAGAAACAAATAAGAGACGATATATATTGTGATAGTGTGATGTGTTGCGTGTCCAAATTCCTCTACTTTAATCAAATATCAATTCATAATTGAACCTGTATTTTGCCATATTATAGCTAGCCTGCTGAATGATTAAAGAAAAAATCAAAAACTTATATGGCCATCTGTAATTTCTTTTTTCATAATGATACGAGACGTTTATTGTTCAAATTGAATTATTGAAAATGTCATCAAAGTGGAATGAAATCATTGAATTCATCATTCAACTAGCTAATAGTAACACAAGTGGAGACACATAGGCAAAATCTTGCTATATCTCTCGTTGTGCATAAAGCTCCATTAATTATTCCCCACTCATGCAGCATGGTGTGGATTGTATGGTATATATTTAGTGGGGCACTTGATTCTGTTCTTCTACAATAATCACATTTGATTTAAGAACTAGGGTGGCACATGCTGTTTTTTATCTTCTCAACCCAAAATTATTATTTTGTTACAAATATGCAATAAGTCTGAGAATTATTTTAGAATAGAAAGATTAATATTTATTCCTCCTTTAGATCTTAATCAAAATTAGGGCCTTTCTCGCCCGAAACTATAGATGAGCCTTTTTTTGTACCCACTAATAATTTAGGTCATGGTCGTGGTCCGTGGGGCTCGGAGACTTATGGACATGCGTATTCAAGAGTACCCGCACCACGCAGACTAATCCATTCAATTGGGGGGAGAGATCCCTTTTGAGTTTTGAGGATATCTGATGAAATTTGTAGGGACGAATGCCCACAAAATGCAATTTGCAGGCTTTGTTAATTAATTTATCTAAAGTTATTCTGACTCTTGTAAATAAAGAAAAGAGAACGAAGGAAGACGTTAGGTTCAGAACCAAAATATCAATACTCAACAATTAATAATCTGGAGTTAGGTAGATGATCTAAGTTAAACAAAACTGACTAGCAACAGGCCCCTCTCTTCAAGGAGTTTTGCTCACTGCCTCTCATTTCTCTTTAGAGGAACTTGAGATCCCGCATTTCATCTCTTACTGTATTTATTGAATGATCTGCATTTGCTCCACAAGCAACTTCTTGTTGTATTGGAAAAAGGAAAAAAAAAAAAAATCAGATTTCGAGTTTAATCACCAAATGTGGTATACGGAAGCAGCAATTGTCACAAACAGCAACTTCTGTTTAGCCTTAGTCATTTACTGAACAAACTACAACTTCCTCTTCCAGTTTGCCAACTAGGGTGATGTGCGTCTTAGTTTCAGCCACTCCATAAGACTACATCTCGCCTCCTCTGCGTATATAGTACTCCCTCCGTCCCAAAATTATTGTCCAATTTGTATTTTCATTTTTAGTTCAAATTATACTAAAAGTGAAATCTCAAACTAGACAATAATTTTAGGACAGAGAGAGTATATCATCACAAAACCTATACTAATTTCCGCAACAATTATGAAATCAAATTCTGCCGACAGTCCAAAAATTAAATAGTGATTAGATACATTACAATAATAATCCAAATAATATTTGGCTTCCTTGTGCTTCTCCTTTTTTTCTTTGATCCTGCCACCTATGGAGTGTGTGTAAATACAAGTGCAAAGTTTTATTTGAACAAAAAAAAATCGTCCCGCGTATCGTGATCCAGTTATTGGGTCCATCTAGCTCAGTTCATGGGTCAATCCAGTTCGATTCATGGGTCGATCCGGTAAAACTTATACAAATTATTAGTCTCTTAAATTAAAATTAATGGTGGTTATAATTTATTTTTTTTAAAAATCAAAATTCGATCCATGTACCGTGGTTCGATTACTGGGTCGACCTAACACAACTCTTGGTTCGATTTTGTTTAATATGGCTCGAAACGTGAAAATTGAACTTCAATGAGTTAGAAAATACAAGTGTAAGGTTTATTTGAACAAAAAATAAAAATTCGATTCGCGTATCGTGACCCGATTACTGGGTCGACCCAACTCGATCCATGGGCCAATCCAGCTCGATTCATGCGCCCGACCAAACTCGATCCATGGGCCAGCCCAGTTAAACTTGCCGTAAAATGAAAAAAATTTGAAGTCCATTAAGTTTTAAAATATACCGATGTTAAAAAATAATTTTATGTATAGGTCAACTCGCAGGTAAAATTTTCATACTAAACTAGTTGACCCACAACCCATGCCAACTCATGACCCAATTCGTATATGACTCTTCCTTAAATGGGTTGGGTTGGGTTATGACCTACTTCCTCACTAACTTGTATCAATGGCTTTATTTTTTCTTTTTTATTCTATTGAAAAAAGTAGATAAATAATGATTGTATAGTTTAAAAATCTGATAGATTACCTGATGGGTAATCGTTGAACCCATCCAAATAACTTTTTCTCCAGATCCTCCCAAGCTCAACATTTTAAATAGATGGACTTTTATGGATAAAAGTCCAATAGATTTGGATGGATAGTAAATTCGTAGATTTTCATACCAGCTTTTCAAATAGTCACGCGAAATATCATTACCTTGTAATAAGATCACAAGTTACACTAGGAAAATGTGGCTAATGCAGGTTTGCATTGTATTGGTAGAATGCCGAGACAACCTTAATCTACAAAATCTACACGATTTAACAAATTGTGCACGTTAATAAGCATAAGGCCTAAGCGAAAGGTAATCGCTGTCTTAATGTATAATGTCAGTGCAAAGTGTAAGCTCTTGGAGAAGGAGCATCCGGAGCTGCTGTAAATACACATGATTTGGTTATAACACTGGTAAATTTTAATAGGTGTAACTATATGTCTATGTCTATTTAGCCATTTATTATGAAGTTTTTGACTAAATAGTACTCTATTTGTTCCAAAATTATTGTTTACTTTGAGTTTTTATTTTATAGTTTAATTTGTACTTAGCATAAAAATCCAAACTGGATAATAATTATTTCGGGACGGAGGGAGTAATTTTTTTTTAAAAAAGTTCAAAAGTAACTTAGAGGTTACATGACATCTTTTCAAATAGTACTAGTACTATTCCCGCACGTTGTGCGGTGATATAATATATTATATATTAGTTTAATAATAAAAAATATACTATTTCGGTTTGGCTAATAATTGAATGTTGTCTCAAATTTATTTCACTTTGTATTCCAGTTTAATTATAGGATTTTTTTTATCATGTGTATATGTATAAAAATATATAAGTTTTTGATTTTTAAAACAGAGATTTGATGGCTAATTTTGATTTAATTATTCTATTTTAGAGTGATTTGTCCCCTACCTTTTTTTGTGTTT